GAAATAGTGGAACCACGAAAGGCACAAAAAGGGGTGTTTCACACTGTCCACAGGACATGATCGCACTCAAGGAGAACAAGGAGGGGGGAATGGGAGAAAAAGAGGAAGAGAAAGAGAAAGAGAAAGAGAGTTGAAAACATGAGCAAAACGGTAAATGTTATACCCAATTACACACGGTATTCAACTAAATAAACTACTCCGTCCCTTTGCTTTTATTTCCAAACATGACGTTTTCTCTCTGCTTTCGTTTCTCTTTTCTCTTTTCTCTTTTCTCTTTACTGTTCCGCTTGTCATGCGCTTGCACTCGATTGTTGCCATTTTGAGGCCTCGAGCTCTCTATTTCTACTTGACGGGAATGCACACGTTAATTAATTTATTATGTGAATAGGGGAACTTTTGCATTTAGTTCAAATTAGGCTTAATGTCATTCACACATTCGTTTAAATAAGAATTTTCATTCAACTTACATTTTTATTAGATCAATGGTTTTTGTTTGTAAAAAGTTTATTTCACCGAATTTCGGATTTAAAATCTTTTATCAGCAGTAGAATAGTAAATTTCAATCAGACAATTTCTTTAACTGATTATAATTTTATTGTCACTAGTAAAAACAAATTCAAGGTAAACAATTTTAATAAATGTTTTTTATTTGTTTATCAGTAGAAAAAATAAATTTTAGTCAGACAAACTTATAAATAGACAGGGTGTCCAGCTACCTTGAAAACCTTGAAAACCTTGAAAAGTACTTGAAAAAAAAATTTTTTTACATTAATTCAATTATTTAAAATAGAATTTGCATAAATTTTTTCACATTTTTTCACAATTTGTCATTAAATTCTTTGCAGTAATTCAATTATTTTCAAAAATAATAAAATTCAATTACTTTCAGAAATTTTAATAATATTCATTTAATAAAATTTGTTTTAAAATTTCCCGTGTGGAAATAGCCCGAGTTAGCCATGACAAAGTTAAGTTTCTGGTCAGGGGCTAGCTTGAAGTGGGGCTCCCCAGACATAGCACGGCTAGCGCCCAGATTCAATTTCCACACGGGTTGGCATTAAATTTTTCGCAGTAATTCAATTATTTTCAAAAGTAATAAAATTCGATTATTTTCAAAAATTTTAATAAACTTCATTGCAAAATTTCAATTATTTTCAAAAATTTTTTTTAATTCAATAATTTGTATATCAATTATTTTTAATAGAAATTTCCAAAAGAATTCAATTATTTAAAAACAATTTTGATTGATGTTTCTTAAATCGATGTTCTTTATATTTCTAATATTTTATCAATAAATTGTATTTAAAGTTATTTATGAATAACTGTTGTATGTAGAAATGATAAAATTGTTTATAAGTACTCTCTAAATTTTAATTAGTAAAAATATTTACTAATTTGCATTAGTTACTGACTTTTTGCTTTTTAATTAGTAAATTTCATTAAAAAATTAATAGAAATGATTATTTATTAGTAAAATTTACTTATTCAAAGAAAAAAGTCAGTCACTAAATCAAATTAGTAATCATTTTTACTAATTTAAATTTAGAGAGTATGTAAAAATTTACTTGAAATAGACTTATTGAGGAAAACTAATAATAACAGAACTTACTTTATTACACTCGATTATAAATAACAAATATTTTGAAAGTAGTACCCTAAAAATGGACCTTGAAAAAAATGATTTTGGACCTTAAAAACCTTGAAAAGTCCTTGAATTTTTTTTTTAAAGAATCGCTGGACACCCTGATAGAATTTAATTTTATTTTCAGTAGCACAGACATATTACCGTTAGTAGTACAAACTAATTTCAGTCAGTCAATTTCTTGAATAGCCAAATTTATAAATGATTCTAACTCTAATTGATTTTATTTGACTCGAAAAGAATGACCTTTCTTCCTATATAATTTATTAACTAGTTTTAATTCTATTGCCAGTAGTAAAAGAAATTAGAAAATTTCTTTAAAACTGTTTTTAACTTTATTGTCACTAGTATAAACAAATTTCAGTTAAGCAATTTCTACAAATCTTTTTAATTAGTTTGTCAGTAGTAAAAATAACTTTTAGTCAGCCAAACTTATAAATAAATTTAAATTTATTGTCAGTAGTACAAACAGATTTTAATCAAACAATTTCTTTAAATGCTTTTTTTTAAATTACAGTCAGACAATTACTTGCATGGTTTTAATTTTTTATCAGTAGTACAAACAAATTTTAGTCAAACAATTTCTTTAAACGCTTTTAATTAGTTTATCAGTAATAAAAATAACTTGTAGTCAGCTAAACATATAAATGACTTCATTTTTATTGTCAGTAGTAGAAACAAATATCAGTCGGACAATTTTTTTAAATACATTTAATTTTACTGAATGTAGTACAAACAAAATTGAATCAGCCAATTTATTTCAATGTTTTTAATTATTTATCTGTAGTACCTATAAAGAAATTTAAGGCAGCCAATCTCTTTATTTCTGACTATTCATCAGTAGTAGAAACAAATTATAAGTCAGAGTATTTCTGAATTAGTTTCAATTTTATTGACAGTAGAAAAAAAATTACAGTCAGACAATTTCTTGAATGGCCAAACTTATAATTTATTTTAATTCTAATGCCAGTAGTATAAAAAGTATTCCAGTCAGACAATTTCTTAAATGGTCTTATTTTTGTATTAGTCGTAGAAATAAAATTTTATACTCGTACAACTTTATAAATAGAATAAATAGGTAAATAGAATATCAGACGGACTATTTATAGAATAGTTTTAATGTTCTCAGTAGTACAAACAAATTGTAGTCAGACAATTTTTAAAATGTTTATTTTTTTAATCAGTAGTACAAACAAATTTCATTGATGCAATTTCTAATTTGGTTTTAATTTTACTGTCAGTAGTACAAATAAATCTCAGTCAGACGAGATATTGAATGTTTTTCATGTCTTCATCAAGAGTTTAAACAAAATTTAAGGCAGACAATTTTTTGAAATAGTCTTTAAACGTTCTATCAGTGGAACAAACAAACTGCAGTCGGACAATTTCTTAAATGGTTTTAATTTTTTATTAGTAGTTCAAATAAATTTTAGTCAGACAATTTCTTAAAAGTTTTTTTTAACTGTTTTATTAGTAGAACAAGCAAATTAGTACTTTTAGCCTAATTATGTTGAAAGTGTGGTGAATTATTATTTAATATTAAAATAAATTTATACTTGGCAGAATTTTTTACTATTAATTTAAATTTATAAATAATATAAATTTTGACTAATAATATTTTGTCTTATGAAATTTCGATTCAAACTAATTTGGAGTTAATAAAACTAATTGTAAGAATAATAAATTTGAGTGTTGAGTCAGACAATATCTTCAATATTTTTCATTTTCTTTTTCAGTAGTACAAACTTTCAATAAGACAATTTCTTCAATGGTTTTAAATCTTTTATCGGTAGTAGAAATAAATTTCAGTCAGACAATTTCTTCAATTGTTTGTAGTTTTATTGTCAGTAGTATACATACAAATTTCAGTCAGAAAATTGTATAAACTATTTTTAAATCTTTATAAATTTTATAAATCTATTTTTAAACTATTTTTCAATTGTCTGACTCAACACTCAAAAAGTTTATCAGTGGTTACAAATAAATTTTAGTCAGACACTTTCTTGAATGTTTTTAATTGTAGTGACTATTATTTAAAGAATTTTGAAAATCAATTTTCTTGGGCAGTCATGCACCTAGTGGATATAAATGTACATAGATTTTCCAAGTGGCAGGGCGCCTCTTCACATGCACTCCTCACACCTACACATCTATCAATCGCATCGGCGAGAATGGCAAGAGCCAAAATTACAAGGAGTATAATCAATCAAGGGTCGTTTTCGGCGAGAGGTTTTTGGAAGGTGGCAGACAGTTCGCATAGTTCCGTAACGGAAACGGTAATATCGCTGGCCCCAGGCGACCACTCCTTTGTCATTTTGTCATCCGGTGTAAGAATCTAACGTTTCAACAGTGAAGAGATAAAGGGATGATGAGAAACAGTGAGTGAGTGAGTGAGAGAGAGAGAGTGAGATGTGCCCCGAGACACACAACGATTTCGCAAAGAACCAACTTTCTGAAATATTAAAATAACTCTCCAACTAATATTTTCACTTTTACCTTCACAGTCCTTTATCTCTTTTTTTTGCCGTTTATACTTCATTCCTTAACACACGGGAAAAATTCTATACTTTTTACTTTGATTTTGGGGGGTAAAAATTATCTGGGCGCATGAATATTGCCGAAATGTTATTTGAAATAATAGTTATTTTACATAAAATTTAGTTGACTTAAAATTCATTTGACATAAAATTTGTTTGACCTACAATTCATTTGACTTAAAAGTTATCTGACATAAAAGATATTTCACCTAAAATTCATTTGTCTTAAACTTTATTTGTCCTATAATTTATTTGACTTAAAGTTTATTTGACCTAAAATTCATTTGACATAACATTTATTTGACATAATATTTATTTGCGATATAAGTAACATTTGACATCAAATAAAATTTTGTACAATTCTCATTTGACATAAATTTCACTTGACATAAATTTCATTTGACTTAAAATTCATTTGACATTTTACATAATTCTTATTTGACATTAAATTCATTTGATATATATTTAACATAACTATTATTTGACAATAAATTCATTTGACATAAATTTCATCTGATGTTAAATGAAAAAGTTAAATGTTTAGTTGACACAAGTTTTATGTCAAATAACTATTACGTCAAATAAGATTTCGGAAATATTAATATGTCCGAAATTACTTGCAACAAATTTTGTTACTGAGTGAAAAAAATCTTGAAAAAAATTAGATTTACTTTATTTTTCCTCGTGTATTATTTAAATTTCACAAACAGTTGGCATTCTTTCTGTTCCTTCGTTCTCTTCGTGGAATTTGCAAAATTAGGTTAGCAAATAATATTGTTTTACAATGACAATAAATTTAAATCATAGGAATTTCGACTCACTGTATTTCCATGATGTAGTGGAGTTCTTGTTCGTTTTCTCTCCACTAATGATTCCTCAGGTTGCCTATTTATCTTCTGAATATCTTGTTTATATTTGCTCCCATTCGAGGCAGAAATAATGTAGAAGGCGAAAACCAGGAAGCAAACTCGTGCGTGAAAATGTGGCACATTTGATGTTGTTAAACCGATCGTCATAATCCAACTGTAAAAATAAAATAGCTCACATAAATTTCGGGTAGACTAAAATATATACAATATACTTTTTTTTATTTCATCTCATTTTTTTTGACGAATTTATAAGTAATTTAAATAATAATATTAATGTTTTAGAGTGTACAAACTAGTTTTTGCATTTTAAAAAATGTTTTTCACTACTATCTTTTGAATTAGTAAAAATGTTTACTAATTTGAAAACATTCAAGAAATTGTCTGATTGAAATTTGTTTTTACTACTGACAGTAATATTTAAACTATTAAAGAAATTGTGTGACTTTAATCTATTTGTACTTTTATTAAAAAAAATTAAAATCATTTTTAATCTACGCTGACTGAACATGAAAAAGATTTAAAAAATTTGACAAAAATTTGTTTGTACTACTGATACCAAAAAAAATGAAAATTATCCAAGCAATTGTCTGCCTGAAAATTGTTTGCACTACTGACAAAAAAATTAAAAATATTTATAGAAATGCTCTGACTGAAATTTTTTTCTACTACTTTTTACTTTTTGTACTGTCAATAAAGTTGAATTTATTTATAAGGTTGGCTGACTAAAATTTATTTTTACTACTGACAGGCTAATTAAAAACATTTAAAGAAATTGTCGGACTGAAATTTGTTTCTGCTACTGTCAATAAAATTAAATTTATTCATAACTAGCAAATGTTACGCGCGAAACGTGATATTCGATTTGTTATTGTCATGCAAATTACAAAATTTTTTATTTTCAAACATAAATTTTATAAATAATTTCATAATCAAAATTTAAAAAATTCACTTATTAAGTACAAAGTTAATTATTATTTTTGTTCATATTTTCAAAAATTTTAATAAAATTTCACGAAAGAATTCAATTATTTTCTAAAATTTTAATGAATCCTTCTAAACAATTCAATTATTTTTTTAAATAGTAAAATTCTTTGCAGGAATTCAATTATTTTCGAAACAATTATAATAGAATTCCTCGAAAGAATTCAATTTTTTTTATAAAATTTTAATAAATCCTTCGAAAAAATTCAATTATTTTTATAAATAGTAAAATTCTTCGCAAGAATTCAATTAATTTTATAAATAGTAAAATTCTTTGCAGGAATTCAATTATTTTCAAAACAATTTTAATAGAATTCCTCGGATGAATTCCAATATTTTTAAATATTTCCATAAATTTCAATTATTATTATTATTATTCTTCGAAACCATTCAATTATTTTTATAAATACTAAAATTTTTTGCAGGAATTAAATTATTTTTAATAAAATTGAAATAAAATTATACGAAAGAATTTAATTATTTTCAAAAATTTCCATAAAATTCAATTTCAACAAGAATTGAAAATTCTCTAAAAATAATTCAATTATTTTCAAAATATTTTTAAAAAATTGTATATAAAAATTAAATTATTTTCAATGCAATTTTTTTATTTATTAGGTATAATTATATTATAATTCGTCAAAAAATTGAAAGAATTTAATTGTTATCAAAAAAATAATAAAATTCTCGAAAAACTTACATTATTTTCAAATATTTCTATAATATTTTTCATAACAATTTAATTATTTCTTAAAATTTTAATAAATTCTTCGAAACATTTCAATTATTTTTATAAATATTAAAATCCTTTGCAGGAAATCAATTATTTTCAATTCAATTTTAATAAAATTCTTCTTCATAAAATTCAATTGCTTTCAAAAGTTTCAATTAAAATTATTAAAAAAACTCCATTGGTTTAAAAAAATTCAATGAAATTCTTCAAAAGAATTTCATTAGGATTTTTAAAAATTTTAATAAAATTCTTTGGGAGAATTCAGTTGTTTTCCTAAATAATAAAAATTCTTTGAAGGAATTCTATTATTGCCAAATTTTTTGATAAAATTCTTTGCAGCAATTCGATGATTTTCAGTACCTACATTAATTTTAAAATTGAAAATATTTGAAAAGAAAAATTATATAAAAGTTAAGAAACAAAAAAAGCAAACAACAACTAACTTCAAACTGCGAACTTACCGGAACATGTACTTTATTATTACTAATTTTGAAGGAGTAAAATTTATTTTTACTACTGATAAACAAATTTAAAGCATTTAAAGAAATTGTTTGACTAAAATTTGTTTATACTACTGACAATAAAGTTAAAAACAGTTTTAAAGAAATTGTCTAAATTTTTTATTTACTACTGACAATAGAATTAAAACTATTTAAGAAATTGCCTGACTTAATTTATTTCTACTACTGATTAAAAATCAGAAACAAAGAAATTGTCTGCACTAGTTTCTACTATAGTAACAAAAAATTATGGCCATTTATAGAAATCGTCTGACTAAAATTTGCTTCTACTACTGACAGTAATATTAAAACTATTAAGTAAATGTCTGACTTAAATTTGTTTTTACTACTAATAAAAAAAAATTGTAACTATAGTAAAAATTGTAAAACGTGACAATTGTCTAACTGAAAGCGTGTTAAATGAAAGTTTTCATTATATACACATACACATACACATGCGCACGTTGTAATGAAGAATTGGAAAATTTACTGCGCCAACCGAAAATTATAGGAAGACAAAAGCCTTTTAGAATTGACTGCTCCGATTCAATTCTCTCCCCACGAAAGACTTTCCTCTACTATAAATTTACTTGCGCGCAACTGTTACAGTCGAGCGTGTACGCAGGTATACCTACGTGTATACGTTTAAGTATCTAACGACCTATTAAGCTCCCAATGCTCAGAAAGGCATTAATTTCACAACGCGCATAACTTTTCTGTCACAATTTGCATCTCTTTCTCTCTCTCTCTCTCTCTCTCTCTCTATTTTCTTGAAACGCTACTGGGAAATTAAAAACGTCCGATCGTTAAATTTCAAAAGAGTTTGAAATATTACTAGATCCGCCTTTGGAATCATAATCGGCTGTTTTTTTTAATCTCTCCCCTCGGGGAAGAAAGCGATTGCTACATTTTTTATTCTCTTATTTTCAAATTAAGATTAGGATATTGTTTTCGTTTTTAAAGGACAATTTACAATGGAACGCTATTTATATAGGAGCGTTTTTGGCAGTTTTGGGGAATTTTTATGCATATTCAGAGCTCGGACTTTTTTCTACTTTTTTTACGTTTTTCGACTTTTCTAATGAAATGTGACTTTTTCGACTTTTTTGTGAAAAATGCGATAAATCGACTTTTTTGAGATTTTTTTTTTAGTGAAATGCGACTAATCGACTTTTTTCACATTCTTCAATTACATTTCGACTTCAATTTTAAATAGCAGAAATCTTTTTTTGTAAACAATATTGTTCACAAAATCATTCTTCTCTTTGGGAAAAGAAACATAAAATATTCCCGTTTCTTAATATTTTTGTAGGAAATTCTCAATTTTCATAAGGAAATAATTTGCTTAATTTCTATTTATTAATTACAATTGCTTTAATAACATTTAAAGTTTTTTAAAAATAAATGGAAAAAAAATGTTTATAAATTCTATTTGTCAATTAGAAATTTTAATTGAGAATGAAATTGGAACTTTTAAAATTTTTAGAAAATAAAGGAAAAAATTTTAGTCAAAAAAATTTTGTGTTACGTTTATTTAGAAATTTCTTTCAAATTTTTCGAAAACATCCAAAATTTCTTATTTAAATAAATATTTAATTATAATTATTTTTCCATAAGAATTAAGATTTTTAAAACATGCAAATTCAAACCTTTATGAAATTAAACAACAAAAATTGTTAAACAACATGAAGAAATCGATCACTCCGAGTCTTCGACTCGGAGCAATCGATGTCTTCATGTTTTATAATAATTAAAGATGACCGAGTGATAAAATCATTATTTTATATTATAAGACTTTAAAAAAAATGTGTTTAATTATTTTTTATGAAAATAATTGAATTATTGCGAAGAAATTTATAAAAAAATTAGTAAGTAATTAAATTCCTGTGAAATTTTCATTATTTATGAAAATAATTAAATGTTTGCGTACGATTTTATTAAATTTTTTGCAAATAATTGAATTTCAGAAAAGAAATGTATATTATTTATGAAGATAATTGAAATTCTGAACAGATTTTTAAAAAAATGTTTTACAGTAATTGAATTTTGCAGAAGAATTTTGATATTTATAAAGATAAATGAAATTTTGACAAGAAATTAAAAAAAAAAATTTGAAAATAATTGAATTTCTGCAATGAATTTTATTACTTTTGAAGATAATTGAATTTCCAGGATGAATTTTATTATTTATGAAAATAATTAAAATTTTGACAAGAATTTTATTTGAATTTTTTAAAATAATTGAATTTCGGAGAAGAATTTTATTATTTTTAAAAATAATTGAAATTTTAAAGAGAATTTTTAAAAAAATGTTAAAAATACATAATTAAAATTTTGCTAAGAATTTTATTAAAATTGTATTCCAGATTATATGAAATTAAAGTATGTATTGTCGAGGAATGTGATTTTTTTACAATTGAGCGTGTCAATGCAAGAACCGGTCGTACGCTCGGGATACACATGTGGCGTACGACCGGTTCTTGCATTGACACGCTCAATTTTTACAATTTTGTGTTTCTTTTTTGTCGTTTTTTCTAAAATTTCATGCGACTTTTTTCCGACTTTTTTGGAAATCTTATGCGACTTTTCGTGACTTTTGTTGTAAATTTATGCAACTAAAGGGACTTTTTTTGAGTCTTAAAGACGATCCGAGCCCTGCATATTTTGTTCTGAATGTTAGTACATCTAGAGAAAAAATTTATTTAAACAAAATATAATTTATTTGAGTTAAATAAAATTGTATATTTGTCTCAAAGCCAATTAGGTTATTTATTTGTTTTAAATAAAACTTATATTTAAGCCAAGTAAAATTTTATTTAAACCAAATAAAATTTATTTGAAACAAGTAAAAAGTCTAGTTGGCTCTGAGTCTAATATATATTTTTTCTTTGTGTAACTACTGCTCTGAAAGTAAAAATTTATTTTATTCCTTTTAGTCTT